TTAATCTTAAAATGAAAATTACTTTGCATGATAGATAGGGAAGATGTGAAAAGAAAAAAGGGATGAGAGAAACATTGCTTTACGAACCTTAAGATTTAATAAAAATTAAATATTTTACATATGAAAGCATTATAATGTTTAGTGATGAACTGTCAAATTACGTTCACATTTGCTTACTATTTTAAAAGTTATAGCATGAAAACTATAACAAGCATAAAATGGTTATGAGGTTGGTCCCAGGGACCGAGCCTGGGTTGAAAAAGATAACAGGAATTTACTCTATTGAATAAGTATCTTGATGTTCATAATAAAATATACTTGAATTGGAAAATATAGTTGTTCTTTAAATTTAATTTGGGCTACAGTTGAAATGCACTTGGAGACTTGAAATTTTCTTAAGTTAATATATATTTTCCTACTGCAACAGTTCCTTTCCAAAATGTAACATTTAATGCAAATTCAATGATTTCTTAAAGAACCAGTAGACATCCTAACTGATCACTTCAAACATGAGTTGCAACTTTGTGATTGTGCATTTGTAAGTGTAATGTTGCTATTCTGGTCATAAAATTACTGTACGTAATACAGAAATAAATGAAACTTCTTGTTATGTACTCCTACAAAAGTTTTCTGTAGTAAAACATTTTGTTGATTGATAATTGTAATCATGTAGAATTTTGAATGCAACATGACTATTAATAAAAGTGTCTGTTTGACTTGGATCAAAAAACGTTATGCCTTCTAAAAGCAAAGGAAAAACAATATTAGATTATTTTAGCTTAATTCAAAAGCACTGCAAAAGCTTGTGTAAAGAAAACTGTGTTATTAAATGTATTACACTTGAGCTTTTTTGAATTTTTTGTCTTTAAAGATTGAGACCTATGATTGATATACTTCTTTTAAAGTATTAAAATGGAAAACTTTTATTCAGGGTTGGATGATTCTGATGAGTTTGCAAGGACTAATTTTAAGTGAAATTTTGCATTATATCCTGGTGATAGTGGTGGTGGTCAGTGAATTTCAAATGATTAGTGCTTTCAATTTTGATTGCAAGCTTAATACTCATCTGAATTATCACTTTAATTTTACAGAAAAATCAACCATTTAAGATTTTCAAAGAAATGGGAAAAGGCATATATTATAAGTCGTCATACTGTGATACCAAAGATGCTTTAATAAGTGAACTTAATAAAAGTAGTATTTTTAGATGTTATATGAATATTTCCAATTAAGCTGACATATTTGTATTTTTTTTATACCTTATTATCATAATGGCAAAGATTTTTGTAGAGATTTA